GCCTGAGCATCTTGGCAAGCTGTCCCGGATGCACCTTGTCCTTTCCCATGCCCCAAGGTCCTGTGCTGTTTTTAAATCAGTAGTAGTTCCGGACATGCCAGGGATTTCAGGCAGGTCTCAGACAAGCTCTGTTCTTCAGGGAATTCTATTCTCTGCAGCTCTTACTGGATCTCTTCTCAGGGGCAGTTCCCTCTGTTCACTGTCTTCTTTGTAAACTCCAGGAAGGCAACGGCTGCCATTTTATCACCACTCTGCCGGGGCAGGGAATGGTCTTCAAGGTTAAGGCTGTGAATCTAGTTTTCTGACGAAATGTTTCAAAAGCGAACATCTTCAGACTCAGCCTGAGACCTCTGCTGGGTCCTGCCGAAAGCCCCAAGTCGTGACTTCCAGAGAAATGGGCGGGCCCTGAAGGACAGTTTGGTTCTGCTTCTAGTCTAGCCCTTCACTTCCTGATGGCAACAGCATGAACAAGCCATGCCACAAGGTCCTGCTGCCACGGACCAAGCTATGGCAGCCACCAGAGCCCATGCCAAGCTGGACTGTGTCCCCTCAACTGTGAGCCAGAAGGAACCTTTGCTCCTGTCAGCTGCTTCTGTCAGCTCCTCGGTCACAGTAAATCACCAATGCAGTTTAATCCCCCTCACTTGGCACATGCAGCTATGAGCTGTGACATTAAGTCCTTTATGCACCATGAGGGTAAAGTGCAAGACAAGACCTCCGCTTTTAAAATTCCTGGCCCAGAATGCGCAGACTGCAGGCTGGCAGTTTTGGGTCACGGGTCTGGGTGCAGAGGAGCAGCTTAGGGTGATTTCATGAAGGACGGCATCACCAGGAGTGCACAAGTGGCCTCAGCGGCCACAGCTCTGCCCCAGACTGAGCTGTGTGTGATCTCAATAAGGATGTTTCTATGATGAGCTCCTGAGGTGGCCTGGGTAGGGCTCAAAAGAGGTCTCCAAAAAATTCAGGCATGCTCTGACCCTGGAACCTTTGAACATGACTTTATTTGCAAAAGAAATCTTTGCAGATACAATTAAGGACTTTTGAAATCAAGAAGGCCCCTGAGGATGGAGGCAGAGATCAGAGTGGTGTGGCCACAAGCCAAGGATCATCTGGGGCCACCATGAGCTGTAAGAATCAAGGAAGGTGTCTCCTTCAGAGCTTTGGGGGAAGCTCAGCCCTGCCTGAACCTGGAGTTTGGACCTCTGCTCTCCGAAACCATGACAGAATACATGTCTGTTTTAAGGCAGCCAGTGTGTGGTCCTTTGTTCCTGTAGCCATGGGAAATGGATGCCCTTGGCCTTCACCTCTATATAAGCAGTTCTTTCTGTCCTCATTCTGACAGCTCATTGCTCCACACAGTGGTAACGGACACCAACGAGATAAGCAAGAGTGTGTGGACCTTTTCTGTGGGCTCCAAAACTATTCCCTCCATAGTAAAAGGGATATACATGCATTAAGGAGGTTCTCAGTATGGGTTATGGTGAAATGATACCGTTTCCAAGTGCCCATCATCTGTGGGTACTAATTGAAAGCACCCTACCAGTATGTTCAACCAAACTGGCAGTCCCAGCATGCTCTGCCTCAGGTTTTGTTGTTAAAAACTGTCATTATAGCTACATAAGACCTCACCCACAGTAGTATACTATGTAGTGGGGCCAAAAATGTTAACTGGAGGTTGTATTTAGGTTTATGTCTGATAAAATCTCAATTAATCCCCATGCTGGAATTTGAGTACTGTAGAGTTAGAGGCACAGACACGGATGTTCTTGTCCTGCCCTGCAGAGAAGCCCCGCCCACTGGCCTCTTCTGGTCACCTGCTTCTGAAGTAGAGGGTCCTGCAGACGCTCTGGAGAATCATGTCTCGTCATGCAGTCAAGCCTCTCAGAAGCCAGCATGCTCCCCAAGGGAGACAAACGTCTAGTCATAGTTCAGGAGTGTCACCAGCAAATTGGAGGCCCTGGCTGGTCACCTCCTGGCCGCCGGAAGCATCACTGCACCGACCAAGCGGGAACCGAGCCTCCATAGACAGCCGGGCTCCTCTGCTCCATGGTACATTCTGAGGACAAGAGTGGGTTCTGTCCAGCAGACCTTTTCCTAACTGGGGGGCAGCAGCAAGCCTTCCTCCAGTCTCTTCAATTACTTACTTCTTTCTCTCCATTCTTGACCCTAAGTCCATTTGCACAAAGTAGCCACAGTGTGACTCTAAGTTGATATGTTTTATTTACTTATTTATATTCACATGTAATTGAAGATGACTTTGAACTTGAGATCTTGCCTCCACCTCCTCCGTGCTGGGATTCCAAGTATGTGGTGTTTAGAATGGAACCCTAGGCTTCATGCATGCTAGGGAGGCACTCTGTCAAATGAGTACATCCCCAGACCCTGCTAAAATAGAAATCAGCGGAGTCCTTCCCTCCCCTCACCCCTATAGTTTCCAGTGCCTGTGCAGCTTAAACTCCACATGCCATGACCCACAGAGTTCCATGAGGTGGCCCTGGCTGTCCCTCGACCTCAGATTCTACTGTATACACTGCCATCTAATCCAGACTCCTTGGGAGGGTCCTCACATGATGGGAGGACATGAGGACAGGTCATCAGGGGGAGCAGCTCCTGATGAGGGCATGAGGGCCTAGCTGGGGGTGGTAGTAGGCATGGACAGGTACTTTCTGTTTCCACTTGCTCATGTCAAGGATCTTCCTGGGCCTCTGGCTTTGCCTGTTCCTTGTTGAGAGGCTGCTCTAGTCTTCCTCTCTAGCTCACCTACTTACTTACTACTACTACCTCTAGCTACCTACTTACTTAGGGCCTCCAAGTTGCTGGTGATTTTAGGATCCACGTAACTGGCTCTGCCAACTTTTTGTTTCAAAGAGCCAACAACTTGTCTGAAAAATAATGGTGTGCTCAGCCAGCCAGCCCAGGGCTTCAGTCTAGTTTGGTTCATATCCCTGGAAATTGCTCCTCCCTTCCAAAAGCTTGCATGTCAGCATTGTATCGGCCTATGCATCTGCTCTCTGACACCCTGAGACATCAGTTTTGGAGCTGGCAGTTCAGCCTAGGGCCTCAGGCATGCTAAGAGCATTCTCTACACCTCCAGCCTTCTTCCTTCCTATTTTTCTGGCTGGTTATTAGCCAGTGGCTCCTGGAGTTGGCTGAGTATCAGTGCTACCAAGGATCTCTCAGAGGGCAATTTCTGGCCCTACGGTAGATGATGACACCACTGGCCACTCTTCAGGTTCTCCGCAGTCCCCTCTGGCTTTTTGACTTGTGTCCTTAGGGCCTGTCTTAGTTAGGTTTCTATTGCTGTGAGGAGACACCATGACCATGGCAACTCTTACAAAGAAAACATTTAATTGAGGGGGCTCACTTACAGTTCAGAGGGTCAGTCCATCATGGCGAGGAGCATGGTGGCATGCAGGCAGATGTGGTGCTGAAGCTGAGAGTCCTATATCTTGATTCAGAGGCAACAGGAAGTCCACTGATGGTCACACTGAGTGAAGTTTGAGAAAAAGACCTCAAAGCTCACCCCTGCAGTGACACACTTCCAACAGAATGTGTGGTCCAGATTAAAGGTGTGCCCTCCAGCCTCAAGGTCTGGATTAAAGGTGTGTGTCATCCAGCCTCCTCCAATAAGACCACAGTTCCTCCAACAAGGCCACACCTCTTAATAGTGCCACTCCCTATGAGTTTATGGGGGCCAAATACATTTGAACTATCACAGAGTCTCTCTCTCTTCCTTCTCCCATGCCTGACGTGCAGGAGAACCCTGGCTGGCTGCTTACTCCTACCCTGCCTGCTGAACTTCAGCCACTACTTCTGGGTTGAAAGATCCAAACTGATTTAACACATGTGTCCAGAAACCAGTTAGGGTTTCTATTGCTGTGAAGAGACACCATGACCACAGCAACTCCTATAAAGGAAAACATTTCATCGGGGTGGCTGGCTTATAGTTTCAGAGGTTCAGTCCATTATCATCATGGCGGGGAGCATGGCAGCATGCAGGCAGACATGGTGCTGGAAAAGTAGCTGAGAGTCCTACATCTTGCAGGCAACAGGAAGTTGATTGAGACACTTGGTGGTATCCTGAGCATAGGAAACCTCAAAGCCCACCCCCACAATGACACACTTCCTCCAACAAGGCCACACCTCCTAACAGTGTCACTCCCTGTGAGCTTGTGGGGGCCGATTACATTCAAACTGCCGTAACACGGGAATGGAAAGACTCAGCTGGTGATGACTGGGGCAGTGGGTGACACTGCAGACATCATAAAGATGCCTGGCAGCCCTTTTATTTCTATTTCTCCCCAACTCCACTTTCACACACCAGCAGGTCAATCTCTGACGGGTCTCCAAGGCTCTTCAGGGCCCTGAGAGCAACTGGCTAACACAGAGCTTTCGTAGCCCAAGCCCTACTGAACACTGCTGGGGAACATGATTTCAAGGGGTGTGACTTGTTTATGTTGCATTTGTTTAACTCTGTGAAGCTGTGATACTTTGCCTGTCTAAAACACCTGATGGTCTAATAAAGAACTGAATGGCCAATAGCAAGGCAGAGAAAGGACAGGCAGGGCTGGCAGGCAGAGAGAAGAAACAGAAGGAGAAATCTGGGAGAAGAATCAAGGAGCAAGAAAAGGAGAGGAGGATGCTAGGGGCCAGCCACCCAGTCAGCCATGGAGAAAGAGTTGAAGTAAGATACACAGAAATTAGAAAAGGTAAAAGCCCAGAGGCAAAAGACAGATGGGCCAGTTTAAGTTAAGAAAAGCTGGCAAGAAACAGGCCAAGCTAAGGCCAGGTGTTTATAACTAAGAATAAGCCTCCATGTGTGATTTATCTGGGAGCTGGGTGGTGGGCCTCCAAAAGGACAAAAACAACCAACAACACTTTAGTGCTCCAATGTGGGCCTACAGAAAGCTGAACTTCAGAACCTGTGTTACTGAAGGCATTAAATCATGCCTATCCTTCTGCCCGTCCTGTTCCAGGACACTTCTGGCATGTGTACTTACTCCCAAGTACTCCGTGGTTAGAAGCTTCTCTCCTGAGAGTTCGCCAAGCTGGGGCTGGATCAGTTCATCTTTGTCCAGGTCAGCTTCCATGATGTCATGATCCTCCTGTTTCAAGGGGGACAGGGTGAGAGTTTGGGATACCCACTCAGCCACACTCCCCCCAGAGTGTGCAGACAGCTGCTGGGAAATGAGGTCCCAGAAGCTCTCGGTCCCCTGCTCACAACCCCTCCATAAAGATGAAAGGGCAGAGCTGACGAGCCCTGAGGAAGCTGGTACTCCATAGCTGTGGACATGAAGAGGTCTGGGCCCCTTGGCAGCCCTCACAACAGAACCATCTCTATCTTGGAGGTCAAGGGATCAAGGCAAAGGCCAAGCAGTCGGCTCATCGACAACTGGGAAACACTTCCACATACACAGGCCTTATGAGCTGTGGAGTGGTACATGACAAGCTTGTTCTCTAGTATCTGCAGGTCATAAGAAGACTCAGCACTTTGGTCTCAGTTACTGAGTAAGAAAATGGGCCTGGAGAGATGGCTTATCTCAATGGTTGAGTGCTCTGTAACTATGGGGAGCTGTGTTCAGATCTCAGTACCTACATGATAAGCTACATATGCCTGTAACTCAGTGTGGCAGGAGGGAAGACAGCAGAGACCCGAGGGGATCACTGGGGCTTGCTGGCTACTAGCCTAGACCAAAAAAGGAGAACTCCAGGCTTAAGGAGAGACTCTGCCTCAAAGGAATGAAGATAGAGTGATAAAGGGCACCCATTGCCATCCTCTGGCCTCTGTACATGGACATATATATTCACATCACACATGTGTTCCAATACCACACACACACACACACACACACACACACGGCACATTGACGTTTAGGAAACGTTGCAGTAAAATGCACACACACCACTGTGGCTCTGAGGTCCATCACCTTCAACCAGTGGCAAGTCCAAGAGGAGGTGCCACTGGAGTGCAGGAAGATGAAAGGCCAATAGGACGGGCCAAACCAGGCACCTAGAACTGTCTATGGTTGATCTATCAGTGAGTCTACCAGTGACTCAGCTTGGATGTGGCGAAGGTACTCCTAACCCAAGGGAGCAGCCAGTGCAGCATCCAGCTGACGATGAGAATTTCAGTTAGACTCACAACAGCCAACAGAGCAACCGAGCAACCGAGAAGGTGGTTTTCCTCTGGGAAAGATGGTGGGCACACCTCCCTTCTCCCGCCGTCAAGTACGACTGACCCTGACACCACATAGAAGACAAACCCACAAGACCCTGGAGATGGACAGAAAGCTCTGGAGTGGCAGGGGCCTTACACCTGTGAGACGTGGTGCCCAAGAAGCCAGCAACCAGAATGTCAACGGGAAAGACAAGGTCCTCTGAAGCCTGCTCTCTAGCCAAGGGACAAGAAAGGCGGCACTAAGAGGTCAGACATGTTCTAGAAAATAACTACCTCAGAAAACACTGTAACCAGTGTCCAACCATGCCAGCAAGGGCCTCTAATTCTCGGGCTTCTGCCCTCCAAGACTGATGAAGCATCTCCATCTCTACGTGGTGTATTGGAGAAAGCCAAGCAGGGGGCATTTCTTCTGTGTTGGGCAGTGCAGAGGTCCCCACTTCTCAGTGAGTAGATACCAGACAGGACAAAGGCTGCCACTCCCAAGTGACAGTGAATTGGTGTCTCCCTGCTGGCATCGTATTGAGGCCAGTGGTGAGTAATAATGAGGCAATCCTGTCCTTTCTAGAAAGCGATATTAGTGGAAGCCTAGGAGGGACTCTGAACCATCTGCCTACAGCTGCAGAAATAATGGGGGTTATCCATCTGGAACCCAGTGAGGCCAGAAGTCTGGACCCCTTTGGGGTTGAGTCTGTCCTCGAGGGGTACTGAGGTGACTTGTGTCAGTCTCTGACCCCTGTAAACCAGCAGGGGGGGGGTGAAGGGGCAGGACCTTACGACAAGGCTGCCTCAGAGGTACGACATAAGCCCCACAGAGGCGTTTCTGTGCCAGCCTGGCCCACCTGGGCCACCTGGCCCGCTACTCCGGCAGTGCTTGTTTGTTTGCCTGAACTATCAGGTAGGAGAAAGGGGATGGTGTGGCTCGCCCTGGCCAGACCGAGTTTCTGGCAAGTTCTGTTCAATTGCAACTGTGAGTCTTGGACTTCCCAGTCAAGTTGTTTGGTTGTTTGTGTCTTATGACTTTAAAATAAATGCCCAGCTTTCTGATCCGCCATATGTGGTGGAACCACCGCCAAGATGCAGATTTTCTTTCTTTCTTTCTTTCTTTCTTTCTTTCTTTCTTTCTTTCTTTCTTTCTTTCTTTCTTTCTTTCTTTTCTTTTCTTTTTTTTTTTT